TGAGGAGACCTTTTCTCATGTTTTGTCTATACCTTCGTTCATTCTCTCAAAATGAAAGGTGAGCAAGTAGCAAGTGAAGAATAAAAACGGTCTTCAGGGAAACTACGACACTTTGTTCAGTTATGCCTAATTTTAGAGAGAAAGTTGACCCATTCTCCAGATCGAGTTTCTACAAAAGAATGTGTTCATGTGGTGGCTTTTAAGTTGGAGAGACTTGTCGTCCCATTCGACAAAGTGTGGCTGAGCACAGGCCAGAAAGGGGACACGAGATTGAATGGTCTAAAACTTGTCGTTTTTCTGATTATGGTATGTTGGCGGCTAAACGTAAAGTTAACGAAGTCATCGAAATAGACCGAATAGGAAATACATTGAATGTAATGAATACCAGCGAAAAGAAAAGTAAACATTATTAATGCTTAATTAATAGACTCAAAGATAGAGGGATTGAGCAGCTTGCAAAAAAGAGGTGATTCAAGAAGTCTTTTCTTGCCTTGGTTTTAATAATAGTCAATTCTCTGTACTTTTAGCTCACTTTTTCTCTCTCGCTTTGAGACCAAAAACAAAATATAGACTCATCAACAAAACCAGTCGTGTGTCCGACCTTGCGCAATCGGAGTGATGGTTTTAACTTAAATGAAGAATGGGCGAGATAGGGGTCATCAAACCTTGATGGCCAAAAACACACGTTCCTTTTTGCTGTCCTAATTACTTTGTACGAAGAAAAGTTGGGTTTCGAGGAATCTCTTGTTTCATAATTGTTGGGATTACTTCCATTTAGAGTAGAAGTGTTGGGGGAGGAGATTCGAAGGTCGGTTCCACCAGAAGACGACGGCGGATTCCTCTTGACCAGCTGTCGATTGGTTTTACTGGAAGATTCATGCTGACGCGAGGATTCGAAGGTCGGTTCCACCAGAAGACGACGGCGAATTCCTCTTGACCAGCTGTCGATTGGCTTTACTGGCATTGGAGAGACAAAAGATCAACATTGTTGGGATTACTTCCATTTCGAGTGGAAGTGTTGGGTGAAGAGATTCGGAGGTCGGTTCCACCAGAAGACGACGGCGAATTCCTCTTGACCAGCTGTCGATTGGCTTTACTGGAAGATTTGGTCGGTTCCACCAGAAGACGACGGCGAATTCCTCTTGACCAGCTGTCGATTGGCTTTACTGGAACATTCTTGTTGTTGTACATGTTTCCGGGGCAATCTCCTTCGATTCCGGTGAAAAGGTGCTAAGCTTTCGTCCGTCACATGACGAACATCATCAGGGCAAGATATCATCGTCACAACAAAATTCAAGCTTACGAGTCAAGAAAACTCACCGGCAAATCCCTAAAAAGTGGATTA